AAATGGCATTTCTTTAAAATAAATAATTATGCCTTAACATATAAAAAAGATACCTTACTGCTTGGGCAGCTGCCTCCTAATAAGAACTGTATAATAGGAAATGGAGAACATAAACTTTTTTGGTTAACACTTACCTAAAAATCTGTGAGGAAAAAATACACATATATCAACTATCCAACCCTATATAAATGTTTATTGATTTCCTATTATTGTCAGAAACAAGATTCATTTTGAAGAGTTACCCAAGGCTGTCATCTGTGATTGTAGAACTGTTTCTTTGAAGACTTGCTTAGGATATTTTCGCTCTTTATGATAATGGACAGTATATGATTTGAAAAGCTATTATTTCTATTTTTCATATTTTTTCTCAAACTTTGTTTTTGGTTTTTGTCTTTTGTGCCTAATTCAGAAATTTTTCTCAGTACTCTGTGTGAGTCTTATATAGCTTTAGATGCATGTCATTTTATATTTGAAGCTTGGACTTTTTTTTTGGTTAATTGGATAGTTGAAGATTTCAAAAAATATTGTTTTTTTTTTAAGAAAGGAATGTAAATAGGTAATGAAAATAAATTTGTCTTTAAGACTCTAAGGATTTGAATGAGTTCATGCTAACTTTTGATCAGAGCCTCACTGGATTTCCAGTTGCCTAATTGCAAAATCCTCAAAGTGTTCTCTGGCATTTATAATATTCACTAATGAGTAATATTCATTTTTATTTTAGAATCCTATTTCCAAAATTATATGAAAGGGGGCTTCATCTAGGCCATTGGGAACAAAATGCCTGTGATGTTCTCTGAAACATTTTGGCAATGGGTATTTCCTTCTACCACTGTGCGGTTCATCTCATAAGCAGTGTCTGTTGCAAGAACACATGTACTTTAGCATGGTCTGCTGATGTTTCCTTAATTTCATTGACAGGTTCATATGGTGTTTTAATTATAAATCTTTGTTGTCATTATGACTTGTGGTCTATGACCAGTTTTACAACTATCCAATCATTCAAAATTACTACTGCCTAAAATAAGTTGCATTCATATATATATATATATATACATATAAACTTGTCTTTGTTTTCTTGTTCATTTAAATACTATGTACATAAAATCATCTACTCAAAAAAAGATGTTGAACGTTAATTAACTTTGGCTCATTATCCTGCATGTTAAATATGACAAAATAGTACATGCAAGTCTTGTTAAATTTACAATAACGTTTATATGTTTTTGTAGACATTTACATGCATATATTCACATATATATAGTGTCATCTATAATGAAAGATTAACAAAAAGTATTTCTTCATCACCAATAGCTGCAAGGGTGAATTTCTGCAAAACTAGTACACTTTTTGCCTTTAGATTGCTTTTTGCTTAACAGGCTGTCCTACATTTTTATTTTGAACGCAAGCATTTTGCTCCTCTAGTTACGAGATAAGAAACATAAGGAGGGTAATTATAATGGGATTTGAGTAATTTACTTACATTTCTTTGCAAATAAAATAAACTGTATTTTCTTGTTTTTTATAAGCTCTGAGAAATGTCTCTCAATTTTCTAATATTTTTTAATAACACAATACTGTCATCTTCCCAGAGTGAATGTTACTGTTTGCCAACAATAGATTTGGCAACTATTCAAAAGCAGGAATGCAAGGACTGTTTTGTTTTTGAGACTTTGAAATTGTCTGAATTGCTGTTGACTGCTGTCCAAATCAGGTCAGACGCACGATCTCTGCAGGAGTACTTGCCAGAAGTACTGTATGTTCAAATGGAAACCTCTCATCTTTGTCAGCTTCATTTATTTTCCAGCCCTCTAAGTTTCTCTTACCAAATAGGAACACTTCCCTTTATGAACCATGAGATCTTTATTAACCCTGTGTAGTCAACCAAGCTGATGTATTTTGTCTCCTCTCAGCTAAATTACCAAGCACACAAATAAGAGAGAAAATATTTCTAATACTAGAATGTTCTCCAAGCCAGTAAATCTGGGATTATCTCATCATACCAATTATGTCAAAACTCTTTAGCCACAGTGCTCACCAGGACATAAAATTGAATGGGAAACTCAAAACTGGCCCCATTCCGGCATAATAGGGAAAATTCCAGATTTTTCTTGCAGTAACCAGGAAACCATAAATACCAGCAAAACTACCTGTGATCATATATTAAAAATTAATACTCACCATACACTTGGCAAGCATTAGCTGAGTTGCAGAAAGACTATGTCATTGGTTCTGAATGTATTTATGAGTTCAAAGTGTGAAATATATATGTGAAGTACAGAATGTATCAGTCTATATCAATCTATTGCTTCATTTTTCCTAGTGAATAGCATCATACTTACATGTTTAATGCTTAGGGCTATGTATGTTTTTAAGCATATATAGAGTAGTATAAATATAAGATTAATGAGGTGTTATATTACCTTTGTATTTGAAGTAAGAACAATTGCTTATTGATTTTATTTATTAATTTTTATTTATTACATTGCATTATGTGATACCGGTTTTTAGGCACTGGATTCCCCCTAGCCCTCCAATCACCCTCCCCCCATGGTGAATTCTTCCACCTTGTTGCATTACCACAGTTGAAGTTCAGTTGAGGTTCTTTCATTGCAAGCATATACCAAGCATAGAGTCCAGCATCTTATTGTCCAGATAAGTTCAACGGCTTCTTGGGGAGACCATCTCTGGTCTGAAGGTAGAGCCGGCAGAGTGTCATCCCGATCAATCAAAAGCCCCAACATAACATCCGCAACAATCCACAACATCATGGGATTAGTGGACATAGTTTTGAGTAACCAATATATTAAAAAAATTTTTTTTACATTTTACCGGTAGTATTTTTCATACTGACATCATTTCATCTTAAATTAAAGCAAACATGTGGTATCTAACCTTTTGGGATTGGCTCCTTTCTTTTAGCATTATGGTTTCCAGTTGGGCCCATTTAGCCACAAGGAACTGCATTTTATTATTTTTTTAATAGCTGAGTAGTATTCCATAGAGTAGATGAACCATAGCTTTCTTATCCAATCTTCTGCTTAATGTCATCTGCTGGCAAATGACTTTCTGATGGTACTTTCTAATATTTATTGTTAAGAATCTTGCTACATTTTTATCTCAAACATTTCACTCTTGATTATTTTAAATTACCAGTTTAATACAATGTCCGTATACAGGTAGTTTTTAGTGTTTTAAGCATAAGATTATTATTTGCAAAAAGCCCACTTGCAGGGGCAGGTGCAGTGTCATAGCAAGCTAATGCTCTACCCGCAGCACTGGCATCCTTATGGGCACTGGTTCTTATCCCAGCTTCTCCATTTCCCATTCAGCTCCCTGCTTGAGACCTGTGAAAGTAGTGGAGGACGGCCCAAGTCCTTGGGCCCCTGCACCCACGTGGGAGACCTAGAGAAAGCTCCTGACTCTTGGCTTTGGATTGACTCAACTCCAGTCTGCAGCCTTTTAGGAAGTGGACCAGTGGATGTCTCTGATTATCTCTCTATATAAAATCTGCCTTTCAAATAAAAAATTAATAAATCTAAAAAGAGACAAAATACCTAATAGTGGAGAAAGAACTTAAAATAATTTCAATTAGCCTTTCCTGTGGAGTAACATATTGTGAATATGCTGATAAACACTGGAATTTATAAACCAAGATTTTAAAACAAGTAAAACAGTCTTATACTTTTTTCTTTTCATTTTAAGCATGTGTTTTGTACAGGATGTGTCCTCATTTCACCTTGCAGTGGCATTCTAGCCCTCTTGTATTATACTCATTAGTGTGTCTTTAAAGTACTTTCAATTTAGGCAGCTTTCCAGCCTTATAAAGCTTTGAAATGAAATAGACCTGTGCTGAATAAAATGCTTTAGTAAGTTTAGCTTTCATAAGAAATTCCATTAAATCATTTTAAAGAGATAATTGTAATGTGAATCATTGGCAAGTGAATAGTGATTCTCTTGTACAGCCTAACCACACTCTGAGTTTTTAAAACTATAAAGATGTCTGGGCCTTGTCACTTTCACCTTGATACTTAAACAACTTGAACTCCTTTGCCCCATTGTGAAACTATCAGCTATCTTAGTCCATGGGAAGATATATTTTTAATATTGAAGCAGAGGTGTTGAGCACTATGCATAGAGGGATCTGAGGCCATCCTCGATCGCCTTCCTGGCCACAGGCAGGGAGCTGGACGGGAAGTGGAGCTGCCGGGATTAGAACCGGCGCCCACATGGGATCCCGGGCGTGCAAGGCAAGGACCCCAACCACTGCACCATCGCGCTGGGCCCGACCATCGAATTCTATTCTTCATATGCCATCAATTAAAATGTTAGAACATACTTTGGGAAATGTTGCTAAATAACACAGGAGATACTTTCAGATCCACAATCCATCAGGCACCATAAATTTAGTTAAAAAAAAAAATAGCTCCTGCCTTCAAGGAACTTAATATGCTGTAAAAAGGGATGAAAGTAGAGCAGGAATTTGTAATGTAGTATAAAAATGCATGAGACCATGGGCAGATATTAAAAGAAATTGTAAGGAAGATTTGTTGAGGCAGGGAAAAAGATTCTCCGTATTACATGATATGCATTGATCCACAAATGAATTTTTGGAACCAATTTTTTAACAAGTAAATGCCAGAGTATGGTTTGCCACTTAGGAAGATCCCTTTGCTGGAGTGGAGAATGAATTAGAAGAGAACTAATTCAGGGAGCAAGCTATGTCAGTGACATGGCCAATTGCCCTGGAAAAGGAAAGAGGCGAGACAAATTCCAGGTATGTTTTAGCTAGACTTGGTGACTGACTGTAAGTCAGGTAAGGGCGGAAGAAAAAGGCATCAAAGATGAAGCACATGCCTGCACTCCTTTTTTTGTTTTTTGTTTTGTTTTAGCCAAAGAAGGGGTAATTGTTTTCATTGAATCTTGAACATATCTAAGACTTGTTAGAACTAGTGTCCAGATCCATCTTCTAGATCTTAACTGCATTTCTTGTTCTTCTCAAGTCATGTTACACAGACCACATCCTGGATCCATCCTGTGATGAGTGTCTTGAACCTGTCTTGCTCAGAGGAGAATGAAGAGGATTGCTCTAGAGAACTTCCTGACCAGAAAAGTTGATGATTTTCTACAGGAAATGGAGCCCCACATGGTCTCCTGAACTCCCAGTCTACAAGGATGACTGGAACAAGGATGGGAAGCACCCAGCCCTGAGATGCAGCACCTAAGACAGAAACGAAAACACAGAGTACTTGCTGAAGTATGAAGTGGAGACTCTGGATTGGGGGGTGTTTTTGCTAAACTTTATGATATTGCTATGTACGTAAAAGAGCAATCACTACTACACGAGTTCTTTAGAAATCTAGTCATGGATCTTGAAGTCACATATTTTTTCATATATAAATAGATCTTTATAATTTTATATATAGTTCTTTATAAGATTCAGTTTTTTAACTTGGAAATTTATGTGAACATAATGAAACACTTCATTTATTTGATAATTCTCTAAGCTTTTACATTCATATCTTAGGAAAATGATCTCAGCAAGCTTTGGTGGTTTGAGAATCTCATTTACACATCTGTCTCGTGGGCTACTGGAGACTGCAAATGTCTTTATGGGAATTTCTAATTTACAAATTGCTTTTCACACTTCATTTTATTTAAACCGTGCAACATGCCTGTAAGGCTGATCGGGTGGGTATTTTTTATTCTGACTTTTCAGAGAGATGTAGTACCATGTAAGGGTGGAGATTCATACCTCAGTCTTCTGATTCCATGTCCAGGCCCTTTGCCCACACCCTGCTGTCCCTCCACGGGAGGCCACAGTCTAACATGCACAGTGTGTTAGTTGATGCAGCTGGCTCCACAACTGTGCAATCCAGAGAGATTCAGAAGGCACCTTTTCAGTCAAGCATGGCCCCTCCATAATCCCACAATTTTTCCCCTACATCCCAAATACTCACCAAGTTGGGGCATCATCCTGTGATGTCAGTTCAATAGTCTACTTTTAATAGCTTGTATTCTTCTGAAGTAAAGGAACTAGCATGTGTGAGTGCCCTGTGTCCTGTCTAAGTTACCCTTGCCAAAGAAACATCAGTGAGGAGTTGGTGAGGAAGGAGAGTATCCTTTAAATATTGTTGCCCTGCCTGAAGTAAGACAGAGGCCTGGAGCCCAAGTAAAGCAGCCCCTGGTGCTGCCATGCAAACCCAGACCCCCTGGAGCTTCATGGAAGGTGACTATTCATAACCGCTTCATAAGTGAGTAAACTGAGGCACCAAGAGTTCATACAGTGAGTTAATGGCATAGTCAAGAATCCACCCATATCCTGATGTCCTGTGTCAGTCATTGTTGAATTTTATATATTGTATAATGCTCATGCATACATTCCTGGATTATATTTAGGATTTATGTCTTGAGGAATAACGTAGCATCGAATTCAGACTGACAGACAGTCATTTGCCCTGAGAGAAGTTTCAGAATGTCTGGAGAAGACTTCTGTCCGGCCTGACAGCTATTTGAATATTAAGAGGCCTAGGGGAGATACATTTTGAGAGAAGCCCCAGAGAAAGCTGTTTGCTTGTTCCCCCGAGAGGTGAGTAGAATCTCAAAGTTAGTATATATAATTGAGGAAGTACAGACTTCATATTGTTACCAAATTAATGGCATCACATTTCCCTCTCTGTGCTAGGAATGTTTTCTGAATTGTTTCACTTGAGATCAGGGCCTTTGGGCACACATTTCACTGCCAACTCGTCCTTTACCAACCCTTTCCTCCCTGTTACACCAGATAGCTACTTTTTATGAAAACTATAATAATATTAATGGAACATTTTGCACCATACTGTAAGCAGTTTGCTTATATTATTTCAGTGTCTTCTTAAAAACCACTTCAAGATATAGGAACTGTAATTATCCTTATTTTGAAAAGAAGAAATAGAAGTTTCACGAGAGTAAGGAGTGCTGGCCTCAGTTTGGTGTAGTAGCTGAGTTCAAGGCAGTATGTAACTCCAGAGCCCATTCTCAAAACCAAGTGAAAGCTCCTAAGATTCATGGTCTGTGGGTCAGTTTTGTAACGTGGGCAAATAGCAGTTCAGTGCTTTTAGGAACTTGATGGCAGTTTGAGCTGAACAGAACCTAATTCCCAGGAGAATATGAAAGCAGTGTTCCCTCAGGTTCCAGTTCAGCTGGATTCGTTGCTATGGGAGTTTAGCTGCAGAGGTTCAGGATCTGAATTGACTGGACCAGATGGGAACAGTTGGATTCCTTCTTCTGAATGTTTCCCTCACCTCTACACCAACAAATAATACCTTAAGACACATTCAAAGAAATGGTGTCAGAAGCTCTGTTAAAAATACTTTTCTGATACAAATGGAGCCCCCAGATCATTGTTTGCTTACACTTACAAAGCTACTCTTTTGTTTACACTCATTAATGTCCTCACTACGGACCCAGATGGTAGGGTTAGAAGGTGTGGGTATATCATTATGTCCCTCCACCACACTTCGTCTGAGTGAGCATCCTCAGTCATTCCTTGACGAATCAACAATATGGCAAGCACTGTGGTAAAGTGGTGGAGTAGTTCATTTTCTGGGTTCTGCCTAATGTTACTTTAAGAAAAAAGTATTCTTAGATAGCTAAAATTAAGGAGTTTATTAATTGTTGAGTTTTAAACTTAGCTACTTTGTTAAAATATCAAGCACTTTGAAAGTAAAAAGTAGCAGCGTTACCATCTTGTTTTCCAGAAGTAGCCATCACTAGTACATAGGTGCATATTTTTACTCAAATAGACCTATCGTTAACCAGCTTACTTTTCACTTAGTTATTGTGGTCATCATATGTCAAGCAAAAATGCCATAAACTGTTACTACCAAGATATATATAATCCATGTAATCAATTTGGTTAGTGAACTATTTGGATGTTTTAAATTGCCTTTTGTCATGAACATCCATATATGCATTAAACCATTTTCCTTATCTGTCTCCACACCCTAGTTCCAATATGTGATTTGTGTGAATACATTCAGAAAAGTAAATAACTGGATCAAAGTATAGCCAAAATCAAGTGAAAGATATATTTATTTTAGTATTGATAAAAGGCCCAGTAGTTACTATGTCACTTGGAATGCCCACACCCTATATTGTAATTGCTGGGTGCAAGTTCTGGCTTTGGTCCCAATCCCAGTTCCTTGCTAATGTGTACCATGGGAGCCAGCAGGTCAGCAGGTGATGGCTGATTGTTTGGGTCTTTGCCAGCTATACCAGAGACCTGATTGAATTTCCAGCTTCCAGCATTGGCATAATCCAGTCACAGCCGTTGTGGATATTGGGGGACTGAATGAGCAGGACTTTCTCTGTGTATGTGTCTTTAAAACCTGTAACAAGAAAAATGTGTAAGTTTTGATAGATTTTCATACATTCTTCTGCATAGAGGTAGGACCAATATGAGAGACATTGTCTAAGAACCTGAATTCTTTATTCATTATGTTTTGAATTCACGTGAGCAAGAGACTAATGTGAACATGCCAGTCTAGCAGTGGCTAATTCTCTATAAATCAAACTCATCATTGCTGTCATTTGTCCTACTTTACATGGAACAATTAGGAGGATGAACTTCTAAGCAAGGTAACTGGCAGGAGAGCCTCCAGTGAAGGGTCACTCAATGTAAATGTGCCTGTAAGTTTTTTGGGCCTCAGCTTCCCTATCTGTATCATAAGAACCATAATCCTTTGCCTCCACCCAAACCAGTTCAACTCAACACACAATTCCTGAGCAACCTCCTAAATGCGAGAGTACAAAGTTTTGTGAATATTCTGCTTAGCCGTGACTCCCACATCAAGGATATTATCAATTAAAACATTTCCCTGCCTTTTCTTTTTTCTCAAAGAAAAACAAACAAAAAATATCTACTTTTTCCATAGAGGAGCAGGAAGAAAGGAGTTTATTTGTTCAAATCCCCTACAGAAAAACTGTCACTCTCTTAAATTTAAATAATTCCAAAGTAATGTTAAGATGCCTTCACTAGCAAAACAAGGGAACACGCTGTATGCGAAGCTACTCCAACAATAAATGTAAAGCAGCTGTCAAAATAGAGAAGCAAATGATACTTTCACAAAGCGTTTGCACAGTTATTTAATACTATCCTTTTTGTAGGGAGGAAAAGGGGTACTTTTTATTTTGTCCGATAAGTGAAATGTAACTTTGTAAAGGGTTTGCACACTTGACATTTTTATGATATGTATATAGAAAGGACCCAAACTGACCTTGAAACACCCTGCATGCTGTCTTGCGTATTTGTTTAAGAAGATGAAATGAATTAAACAGAATATGCCTGTGGATCTTAAGTGCAGAGATGAGTTACCCAAGGTGTTTGAACTACAGCTATCCACGTGTCACGTTATAATCATGCAACTGTTAATTGTAATGTGTGTAATAGGACATTTTATATTTAAACATATATAGCTTTTGTTCATTTTTCTGTATATGTATGATTGCTTTTACTTTTGGGATTGTGGTTCATTTGAGGAAAAGGAAAAATCGATTCTGTCCTCCCTCTCATTCCCCTCTCACCAGCTGATTCTCCCTCCCTTCATCCTGTTTCTTTCTTTCATGTTCTGTATGCATTTAGAGTGATCTGTGTTTTTTGTCCTCAGTAATGGAAGAAATAATGGACATAAGCTCCCTCGGGGCAGACATATTGACTGTCATGTTCTCCATTGTATCCTCAGGATCTAGAATAGTACCTCCAATAGTAGCTGTGCAAGGGCAGAGATTTTTGTTTCTTCTCCACTATATCTTCAGAACCTGGCATAGTGCCTATCCCATGGTAAGTGTTCAAAATATATTTGCCAGATGGAATGAGTGATGTGCTATTTATTAGTAAGACTTAGTTCCCAGTTTAGCTCTGATTCTCTTGTATTCATTTGTTCATTTAAACACCTACCAATGCTACTAAGTGCCAGTTTACTAAGGATAAGCTAAGAATACACCATAAGACCAATATGATGCTGACACTCATTTGTATTCTGTACAAAGGAAATGCAACTAAATTAACAGGGCTTTTTCCATTTATTTCCTTACTTTTTCCTTTATCCCATATTTGAACTACTAACATTTAATGTCCATTATTGCAAGAAAACATGTAATATCAAAAAGCAGTGGAAAGCATGCTTTTTGAGGAACTAGAAAAAATTGTGGTTTAGGTAAAAGGTTTGAGAGTACATATAATGAGGAGAAGCTAGGCTTTCCTACTTCCTAAGAAATAATTTCTCTGCAAGGAGATAGGAAAGCACAAAAATGTTGACGGGACTCAAAGGAAAGGGCTTGGACCCCACCTCCTTGGGAAAAGTTTCTGAGAGAAGCAGAATTAAATTTGCTAGCTTTGAAAACAGAGGTAGGAAGTTGCTCACATCCCTTAGAATGGAAATGGTTGTATAAGACTGTCGAGGCAGTTGGGGCCTTGGTAAACTTCAGTGCACTTCCTGTAGCATCAGGTGGTTACCATGAAGCGTCAGCAGGCCCTGAGCAGTGATTTCTTCATTCAGTCCCCATGGCTTCTCAGCAGAAATCAATTTGAACAATGGTATCAGACCATCCAAACCCAGGTACCCTGGCATGGGATCAGCCCCTGCTGTGATCTGAATGTTTGGGTCCCCAGAGGTGTTGGTTTTAAGCAGTGAGGACTTTGAGAAATGGATAAGTCATGAGGCTCATGAATGGAATCAGTGCCCCTAAAAAAAGGCTTGAGGGAATCTATGTTTGTGTTTTACACAAGAAAGA